CAATACATTTTGTAGAAATAAAACATTTTCTGTGAACACAAAAATATATCACTTAAACTTGTTCTAAATACTTTTTTCTACCCTGTTCTGCAAAAAACACCTAATTATACACCGATCTAGAGTGCGCAAAGTGTCATTTAACACCAGCTCTCCGAAGCAGTTTCTGATATAGCCTTAAAGTGTTTTACAGTACAATATTCCATTTTTTTTCACTACATTTTATGCAAATTCTTTGTTCCACTTCTTTGCACAACAGAAAATCGGAGAATACAGAAAACAAGTCTGACACTTCTGTATTACAAGAAAAAAATGCAAACTGGATAAACCTGTGAACATATGTATCATCTTACTTTTTGAACACACCTCGTACATATAAAGCTCTGTATCTGGTTGCTTTTGTTGTGCTTCGTTTGTACCATGTTGTTTATTGGTTCTTTATGGGAGTTTGGAATTTTCATTTAGCCTGGTTAGTTATTATTATTCAAATAATCGAAATAATCTTAAAAGATCGTTTGCTGAACTGTTTTGAAAAACACAAACTCTTGTGCAAAGAACAGTTCGGGTTTAGGGGCTGAAGGTCCACCACGCATGCTTTACTAAGTCTTGTGGGGAGCATTGTTGAAGCTTTGACGCTGGTGAAATAGCGGAGGCCACCTCTTGCGATCTCACCAAGGCTTTTGATTGTGTGGATCATGGAGTGCTGATGCAGAACCTCGAATGGTATGGCATCAGGGGCATGCGTCACAGATTATTGCGCTCTTAGCTTAGCGGTAGACTTCAGTGTGTCGAAGTGAATGGAAAATTCAGTGGTTCTAGTTTACCGGTATCGTTTGGAGTGCCGCAGGGCTCGGTGCTCTTGCCCCTGCTGTTCATAGTTTACATCAACGATTTGCCTTCCCACATACCATGTAAAACTACGCTCTAACGCTGATAATACAATTCTTTTATCCCGAGCTAGGGACCCCATATGAACTTAGTATTGATAGTATGGCCAATAAGACTAGAGCGCGTGGATGGTTCGGGTCGAACTCCTTACAGGTAAACGAAAATAAAACGAACCATCTTATTTTCTCTTGTAGCAAGGTGCACAATTTAAACAATGCTCTGGTTAAGGTACTTGGAGTCTGGATCGATCGTACTCTTTCTTGGAAAGATCACATTGAACACCTTTTACAAACTGTCAAGTCAATTGTTTCTAATTAGAATCTTAAACAAGTCACTCATTCCTATCACGTCAAGACTTGCTTATTTAGGATTGTTCCATTCTCACTTAGCGTACGCTATTGTTTTGTGGGGTGGTTCCGTGCATACCCGCAAGGCTTTTCTTAGTTAGTTCCGAGTTAAATAAATTGTACATTAATTACTACAATGTTCTACCAACCGTTGTCAAGGATCTGCCATTCACTAAATTTTGTAGGATAATAAAACAATTTTTATTGGAGAACGCATTCTATACTGCATATGAGTACATCCGTGGTGCGTCACGAGTGTCTCCATAATACTAACTGGGAATTTATTTATATATTTATTTACTTATTTTTTTTTTAGCTAATTCTTGTTTCAATGTTTGGTGTTTGTCTATCTGATAATTATGTTGCTCTCTATGAATGTTATTAGAATGTGTTTGTGATGTGACTTGGCATTTGTTGTTCTTGTAATGTATTTAATGGCCAATAAAGTCTAAAGTATATTGTTACTATAATTAATATTATTAAAAATATTGGTATTATTGTTATTGTTATGCTAATGCTTTGACTTCTTTCCTACTTCCTAGAACACTACAGATACTTTAAATCGCAATTATTTTTAAATTAATTAAACATCATTATATCAGCGCAGCACTAAAGTGAAACATTCCACAGTTGAAATTTAATATTTCATCGTGCATTTTCAACGCTGTGTCGATATATACGCACAGCGAAACCAAAATTAAATCCGTCGAAAACAACAATTCCCGTTTAACTTTTCATCTGTAAAACAACGTGAATTCCGCAGGATACAACAAAATATAAAGCGGATGGATAATGAAGCCGATATCGAGGAACTCTCCAAAGGCACGCACATAAAATTAAATCAGTACGAATCATTTATATTAAACGTTCCCTCTGCAAAACAAAAGGGTAACGGGATATCTGCAGGATAAAATAAAACATTTTTGGACTTAAACAGTGACGTATACGCTGGACGATTTGGTTTGGTTGGTTATAAAGCAGCAGCGTTGCCGCTTCTTGGAAAAAGATGCATCAACATTGTCATTCTAAATTTCAAATAAATATTAATTACTAGGACGGTAGAAAGTTAAAAAAGGAAATTTTCCGTAGCACATTGGAAATCAGGATTCGTTTCATTAAATTTTCTGCATGTTCTAGCTATCATAATAAACAAACTCATTAAACCAGCATTAGAATACTGATTTCCCTCCATTTTGAACAATAATAAGTAAATTTTTATTAATCCGTAAAACGGGAAATGAATTACTTATGATTGAATGAAGATGAATTATGCCAGAATAATCCACCTTCCAACGCAATTTGCTTTTATTTCGAAAAGCAATCGATATCGGATACTGCACAGGGTGTTTTATTTTAAAAATGCACAAAATTTGACTGAAGCTGTTTCGTTCGGAAGAATGAAGAAAATAATTATTTTCCTGAGAACCGTTGAAGACGGGTAAACGAATTGAAAGAGCCCTTCGTCTAAAATATGCAATTATTCACAGATAAAGTGTCACTTCAAGACGCCTTTAGCTTCTTCAATCACTCGTTTCGGTAGTACCAATACCTAACTTGACCATCCCCCGTCTCCCGTGGAGAGTCCACAGATATCACAATTACATGTTCCTATCCAAACAGTTCCGAGTAAGTTTCGCCACTCATCGATAGATGGCATTACAAATGAAATTATAGATTCTTAGCTAAACAAACACATACGTTTCATCTACAGATAGCAGCACAGGTTCCAAGCAAAGAAGCTTATATAACCAAACTTACAACCAACAATTTTTAGTTCTCTGCACTCATTTAGAGATTAGAACAGGGGGCCTCAAAAATTAAGCATACTAAAATGACTAGGTTTTGTGTCATGTGGATTGTGAACGAATAATTAGATTTAAGATTTGAGCAATTTTGGAAATGAGTAAGAACTCGACCCAAAAGTAACTTCTAGATAGTAGAGAAAATGGCCTCTTTCTAGTTACTAGTTTGCAACCTAAAAATCTGTAATGCAACAGTTGCGTACACCAATCGAAGTAAAATTCGTTTAGCTACCGCCAGACTTGCGAATACTTCGAAAAGGAACAACGAAATAATTCGAACGAAAGGTTTCATAGGATCGCATGAGTAATTTGCGCTGTTAGTGGCGATTCGCAGCAAACGATCAATGCCCGATAAATTCTTAAATATCTAATCGCACTTTATAACGCTTATTTTCCGATTTACTATCGCCACTTCATGTGTTACCCCCAATCCCTCTCCCCTCACCCCACAGACCGGAATGGTACTTATAAAGTGCACCCATAAACATTAATCTTTCGGTTTTTTAGCGGCAGCGCGCACTACAATGAGATTTTGCCCTGCCGGCGTCAGCAATAAAAGAGATTTATCTTAGGAGCAATCGAATTTACGTTAGCTAGCTCGCTACGACTACGTATATGACGTTAACGTATAGTATGTGTGTGTACTCCGCGGACCAGCGGAATTACCGAAAGAAAAACGTGTCGAGATTTATCGCGATCGTGTTCCTCGAAAATTTATGAAAGTAGGTGAAAATGCAGCTTCACATTCGTTTTGAATAATGAAGTCGAGTCGAGCCATTAAACACGGTAGACCACTTAATGGTTATATCGTAAAATTCGAAGACATTCCGGTGATAGTTCAGACCAGGCGATTATTCAAAAAACAAAAATTTGCGGACTGTCAAAATTTGACTGCTCGCTTTTAGGTGCTCTTGGCAATAGCTGAAATGAAAAATTTAATTATTCCATGGATAACTCCAGATATTATTAGTAAGAGTGCTAGGTTGCGGAATCTGAATAGACATATTCTTTCCAAGTCAAGACAGCCTAAAAAGTTGTGGAAAAATCATGACAAAAATGTTTGCTTGTTCACTTTCTCAATAGCTTCCAAGAACTGTTGCTGCATCCATGGATTTAATTAAAATCTCTATATCTAGTAATATTTATCTTGCTCCAATTACTGATTGGGAAATGGTCGATATTATTCTGTGTTACACAGGAGAATACTTCGGGTTGTGATGGTGTGTTATCACTGAGCCCTAACCAAATCTCGTAAATTATTTTTTTTACACTAGTACTTTTCCATCCTGCAGAAAAAATGCAATAATTTTTCACCTTCCCAAGAAGGGTGAAATTATGTTAGTTTCGAACATTTATGGATGTTAATAATTATTTTTCAAATATGCAGTTCGGTTTTCGTCGAAAGATCAGGCAATTCTTTCACTTTACAATTATATTCTTCTCAATTTAGAACAAGACCGTAGAACTGACTGCGTATTTTTAGAGTGGCTATAATATTTTTGACAGATAGAAGTCAAACAGTATTCTAAATCGAAACCTGTTTTAAGGGAGGTTCTTCAATTTTCAGAGTCAGCTATCTATCTCTGTTTGCTGATGATGCATCTAATAGCAAAAGTTTCGACGAGTTGGGTTCTCTTCGGTAGAAGTATTTAGATGGCAGAAGCGAATCATAAGGACAGTGTTATTTAAACCTAGGGAATACTAACTCTTTTTGGTATTTTTATTTATAATTTTGTCTTAATTGTTTAAACTAATCTTAGTAGCTTTAGCCACTTAAAAAATCCCAGCCATGAATTGTCTGTTGTTGCCAATAGTCCGGTTGTTTTGCCTATCAAACTTTATCATTTGTTTACTTCACTACTTATATTTGTATATTATTTTATTATTTAATGTGCGTAATATATTGTTTATATTTTTGACATTGTCAGATATATGAAATTTGATTTGTAATTTTTTCTTTTTTCAGGTAACGGGAATCGTTGGGCGCGCAGACGTGTTGGCATGCGTGTTCTTTCTCCTATCCATCCTCGCCTACCATGGGTAAGTAACAAAATCGTTTGATTATTGCCAAAACAGGTCACATGAAAACCCGTGATTTTTAAATTTCTACCTAAACGACTTATTTCTGAATCTACCAGCACAAGAACGGTACTGGTTTAATTATCACATGTTCGAAAAATATCCATAAAAAATTCATACCCTTGATTTAATACACAGGAAGAATATTTATTAAACGGATATCATTATACATCAATAGATTAGAAATTTGGGTGATGGTTAATGAATCTTAAAACGACAATAACGCTAGTTATGTGGGAGAATAAAAAAATTTCGATAATACCCAAATGCCAAAATTGCAAACAGAGGTCGCTGTTGAATGAAGTAAAGTGTAAACGTAAAGTTACATCCCATAAGTTGTCCGTCTTTAATAGGAAAAGGACTATTGAAGAAAGAACCAGTGAAATAAATCTGACGACGCTATAAACTAGACTGGATACCTACAAGATGCGAATGGGAAAAACAAGACCATAGGCAATACCAAAAAAACTGACATTTTAGATAAACTATTGATCCCGTTAAAAGCTGTTAAAGAAGAGATAATTAATTCTACTGTGATTAATTGAGAAAGCCTTTAAGGTATAATAATAACAATTGACAGTTTTAGGTTCATTCAAGTGACAAGTGACACTCTGTCGGTTTCTGGTTTATTTTATATAAAAAGTTCATTCAGGAGATGAGAAATCTTTAACTGGAAAAATATTCATTAGATTCTGAGAATCCACCTTCCCAAAAGCAAAACATTCTCACCATGAATTTAGAACCTTTCTTTAAACGAGGCTCAAACCCACAGACCAAAAGATACTGCATAAATCATTCTTAAAATTCTCGCTTTCTCAGTCAGGCGAGTTAAAAAAAAAACAACGCTATATCTCCCTTGATTATACAGGGCGTTTTGAACAACTTTTCCAAATTTCTTGCCATTGGCTACAGTCGATTTCAATAAATTTAGACGACATAAAGAAAATCTTTAAGACTCTGTGACCTTTCAAGTGGGTGCTGCAATACTCGCCTACTGTGGTCATTTTGTCTTATTTCTTATGGATTCTTCCTGCGCCGGTTTTTGTTAAGGCGAACTTGCTGACGTTTCGCCAATCATCCTGTTGGCTTGTTCAAAGCTTGATTGAAACTGGCTCGCATTTTACGCTACACCTGTTTATAGATTTTTTGAGGGGGACGGAACTAGATTCTATATAAATCTAGCTAGGATTTCTCGTTGGTAGAAGAATTGATTACATGCAAGAATGTTATTTTTATCGAAAAAACTGCTGATCAGTTTATTTGCCTCAGTATCAAGGCTCTATTATGTTCATTGAGTCTAGTTGATATTTTTCATTCGTGCAAGCTACTGGCATCTCAAATATAATTTGAAAGAAAGAATGAATTGAAAAAGAAATATTGAATGTGATATTCATTTGTATTGATGACAAGTTCAGGCTTTGGAATGTTAAATTTATGAGATTTTGATTTTTTAAGCATTTTTGAGATTTCAAAATCGAATTTCATCAGCTGTTTGAGATGGAGATCTCGAGATCATAAATTTCGTCAAATCTTTCCTAATTTTAGGGTCTCTTATATTGGACGCACTGTGTTACAGCCTAGATTTACCCCAAATCATTAAATTACTTTCAGTTAAATACCTAAGTTTAATCCAGCAATATTAATCAACGTAATTTTAACAGGTATCAATAATAGGCATATATACAAATATTAAATTATTATTATTTATGAAATTATTACATATTTATCGCTAAGTCAACTATTTTACAATTTTTGCATTGACTTACCTTAAATTCCGTTCGGTGTTTGTCCTAATAAATAATAATTGGTTTTACTCGATTTCGCAGGCGACATCGAGGTTTCCAATCCAAGTTGCTGACATATTTAATATTAACTACGCTTAGAAGCAAATTTAGATTACTACTTACATTACGTTGTCCCGAATCGCTAGTCGTACTTTCAAAATAGGGTAGTGATGGCAATCTCAATTTAATTCTTACTTATCTCAGCTACAATGTAAACAAACGCAATTAAGGTTAGAACTTTCAAAGTCAAAAGCAGTCTCGCGTAAAGTAAAGGAAAGCAAATTTCCTATATTGCCATGCTGCGTTGGAGTGGTTACGTACGACCGGTTAAGGAGCAAAAAACCGCACATAACCTCAATGCCCCAAAAACCCTTCGCAGGTGGCCCCCGCCGCGTTGTGTTCTGCCCCCGTCCTAATCCTTGGTACTTCTGGATTTTCCCCCTTTTTTTAGACTTTGTTCAATAACAATAGACAATTGCTTAGACTTTTTTTCTGTAGCTAATACTCCTCCTTTCTGGTTCTGTGATAATCATTTTTTCACTATTCGAGAAGCTACGTCCGGTGAAAAACGGGTGGCGCCAAAATCTCTCTAATTTCGCTTATGTTTTACCCAGCCCCCTCACCAACTGGGTGGCCATGGCGAAAGTCGGACGTACCCCTCAATTTTAAACAACTTCAACGCTTCAATAAGAGTCTACTTCCCCGTTATCTTTTAGCTTTTTTTTAGTTTTTTAGTTTTTTCTTTGTTAGCCCGTCGAAGTGCTCACAACTGTATAATCTACAGTGCTGGATGATTGGCGAAACGTTAGCAAATTCGACGCAGGAGGAATCCCGAAGATTTGTAAATGTTGGTATGTTTGTGTCAATATTATTTGTCTCTTATAAAGCAAAAAAGTCACTCCACACCGAACCGAATGATCGCGACGCGGGTCTAATCCGGCAGGACCCCTCGGCTTGTCAGATTTTTCGGCGGGGGTTTAATTATGGCCCTTTTACGGCGACCCTTTAATCCCCTCGGGGGCGATTAAGCCTTTTCTATAAATTGCCCAGATTTAACCCGCACACATATCCGGAAGATAAGGGGGACGCTTGAAATTAATATGTTCTGGCGATATCTATTCGGCGAATCGTTTTGGTCGAAAATATGAAACCGGTCTAACGGTTGGGGATAACGCGAAAATGGCGGACGCGTTCCGCACGGAACGGTAATTCACTGTCGTGCGTTAAGGGTAATTTAAACGCCGCATAAATGGGTTTTTGTTGTTCGTAATTTATTTATTTTCGAACCTAATTATCGCGGATAGGTTGCAAAAACAAATTGCAAATTCTTTGTGTCATTATGATGCGGAGTATGGAGTATTACGCTGTATAAAAAGAATTTAAAGGCTTTTTACGAAACTTCTTGGCGAGACGGTAGGGATTGTTAGGTTGCTTATAAATTTCGAAGGATTTTTCGATGGTGGAAGAATTAATTTCATGCAAGAATTTTAGTTTTATCAAATAATATTTTATGTCTGGTTTCGTGTTTATGTTAGGTAACTGCTGATTAGTTTGTTTGTCTTAGTCTTAAGGCTCTTTCATGTTCTTTGAGCTTAGTTGATATTTTTCGTCCGGTTTCTTCTTTGCTGCATATGCATGGAATGCTGTAAATTCCTGCCATCTCAAATGGAATTTTGTCTTTGACGGATCGAAGATATTCAGAGATTTTTGGACAAATGGTATATCTGGTTTTAACGTTTTAACGAAGGTTGCGGTTAGTGTTTTTATTCTGTAAAGAAGAGAGTTGATAACCCATGATTTTTGGGCCGGATGGTGATGTGACACTGCATTAAGATATTGGTCTGTGTGCGTCGGTTTTCTGTAAACACAATGACCCAATGTCATTTCTGATTTTCTATTAATAAGAATATATAAGATTGGGAGGTTAGTATTAATTTCTAATTCAATGTTAAAACGTATAATTAGGGTGTATAGATTTTAAATGTTTAAAAAATCTACTAAGGATTCTTGACCAACAGACCATATAATAAAATTATCATCGACGTAGCGTTTTCATAATTTTAGTTTTAGCATGGAAGGAGTCGAGAACTTTCTTCTCAAAGGTTTCCATAAATATATTCGCTATGACAGGAGTGTTCCAGACAAGCATTTTTCATTTAGGGTGAGAAGGTTTGATTCCAGCAGATTCTCGTATTTCAACATATCTGAAATGATCTTGGCAGTTGAATTGGGACGAAACTCACCAGAATATCTTGTGTGTCTAATTTAATGCTTTTTCAATGAAGTGTACAAAACTATCCTTGTAACGGGTTTTAATAAAGAAGCTGGATATTTTGCTAGGTAATATGTTGGAGAACAAATGGTGCTGACAATAGGTCGAAGGGGTAATCCTGGTTTTACTTTTTCAAGGAGTCTGATAGAGAAGAAGCCTGAAAAGTAGATTCGAGGTTGCGTTCCATAGATGACGTAAGATATTTTTTGAGTTGACGATATGATCCATCTGAAAAAATATCTTAAAAAAAAATCAATGCCCAAAGTAGTTACGGTTTTTTAAAACAAACTTCCACATATTCTCTTGAATTTTTATTTGGTAGAAGAATTTTTGTTTTGTGGAATAAGTTTGTTACATGTTCGTGTTCGGCAACTGCTGATTAGTGTATGTGACGCAGTCTTAAGGCACTTTCTTGTTCTATGAATCTAATATACATTTTTCGTCCTGCCTCTCCAATGTGTTTTTGGATCATTTAGCAGGGAATGCCATAAGTCCCTGATATCTCAAACGGAATTTTGTCTTTGACAGATCAAAGTTGTTGAAAAATTTTTGGATAAGACAAGACGACAATGGCAAGTGTGAAGTTGCTTTCTCACTCATTGTCTTTGAAAGGTTGTGGAGAAGTGTATTTTGAGAGGGAAAACTTAATATCGCTAAGGTATTTTAATTCTGAGTTTGCAGGGAATGCCATAAGTCCCTGATATCTCAAACGGAATTTTGTCTTTGACGGATCAAAGTTGTTAAAAAATTTTTGGACAAGACAAGACGACAATGGCAAGTGTAAAGTTGCTTTCTCACTCATTGTCTTTGCAAGGTTGTGGAGAAGTGTATTTTGAGAGGGAAAGCTTAATATCGCTATAAGTTATTTTAATTCTGAGTTCAGTGACTGGGGTTGAGATACTTTT